GCAATCCAAACCTCCCCCGGCCCTTCGACCCGTCCACTCAGTCCCAACACCAACCGAGTTCAACCCTGGCGACGATCACTACGACACCACCCGCGTCGCGGGGTACGACCTGCCCAAGGTCATAACGCACACCGCGTTTACTCGGCAAATGGGCATCGAGGGACAAGACATCGCTCGCGTCCCCTCCTCCACCTCATGCACGAACAGTGGAACAGTTGGTGGTTGCGTTACCTCGCCCACGGAGGCGAAGTCCGCATCGTTGTCGCAAAGTCGATGCCGGAATCAGTGTTTGCTGCTGGACTACTCAGCCAAATCCGACAACGGCACCTCGACCTGGACGCCCTCGCCCTCCATGTAGCCACGCAGGAGGGCGCCTCGACCACCAAACCAGCAGCCATGAAGCTACTCACCAACAAGATCTTCGCCTTCCTCATCTCCCTCCGACCCACCACTACGGCCGATCCGGCCTCCGCGGCCACCATACTCCAGCTTCAGCAACAGCTTGCTGACGCACACAACCAACTCGCCCAGCAGGCTACATCCCCCCCCCTCCCCCCCACACCCACCTCATCCAACAAACGCCCAGCCGATCCATCTCAGGCCTCCCTCCTGGACTTCGGCATGAAGCGACCACGGTTGACTACATCTGACACATCACCGCAGGACGGATCCCCCGCCCTACCCCTGCCCACTCGCATTGCAGACGACTCCCAACCCCCCCCGGCTCCCCCCACCCACGGCGGCAACCCTCCAGCCCCCTCCACCCACGGCGGCACCCCGACCCCTCCCCCCCTCCCCTCCCCACCCACTTGGAAGGAGCCCCGCGACTTGCTCCAACCACCTCCCCCCGTTTGCCAATGGCTCACCAACAACTTCCCACCCGACATTTCCGACACCAAAGTCCAGCGATGGATCACCTCCCAGAAAACCAGCAAAGAGAGCAAGCAAGCCCTAAAAAGCTGGTCCAACGACTGCGCAAAATGGGCAACCACACTGGACTCCGACACCAGAGCCCAACTCGAACGAGCCGCTGTGCTATGGGGCATCCCGGTGCGAACCCTATCAAAACTGGGGTCATCGGCCTTGGGCCGCATCCTGGCCGCTGCGAGTCACTTCTATCAGTGACTCTCAACAGCACACCGACAACGACGCACAGCCAGGCAGCACAAATTTTGGCAACACCACTGCTGCCAATTTCTCACTGTCCTCCGTTTCACTCTTCGGTTCTTCCCAACCGATGACGTCACCGCACGTCATTTTTGCTCCTGGCTACTCGCACAGCTTCAGCTACTTGACGTCTGCCATCTCTCCTGTGGTTCCGGCAGACTGAAAGCCCGGCTTACTCGACTTGGCCTGGACAACCCTGCTTCCGATTTCTCTTCTCAGCTTGTCCCTTCAGCGGTTTATCTGAGATTCACCAGCCATCCAAAGTGGCAGACCTTTTTCTACCTCGGAGCCACTCGCACCTCCCTCATGGCACGGGACCACAACCGACTTCGCAAACTACTCCAAGTTCAGCGACATCATCTGGTCAATGCCGAACTAGCAGTCCGGTGGTGGGCACATTTTGACATTTTCCACCACTACACCTCGGTGCCCATTCACACTGCCGTTCCAGCAACGGACCTATTTGCCACTGAACAGTTCTACATCCAGGAACTGCAACCGTCTCTCAATTTTGGCTTCATCGAGAGACATTTCCGGCCACGCACGGGCTTCACACGCCAATTGGACTTCTCCCAATCCCGGCACATGGGCTTCGCCACCATCTGGCGAAAACGCCGCCGACTCCGACTACCCATCGCCCTACAACAGGCCTTCCTGGCCAAGCGCATGAACAACCGCCTGGATTTGTGGCGATTTTTGGGCGATCTTGGCAGCAACACTCTACGACGATTTGATGCCATCCGTACCGACAACGACAACCACACTCCTCTACCACACACCTCACAGTGGACACACTTGACACCTCTGCCATCACCCGCGTCTACAACGGACGCCGTCGCCGACACAAACCCACACAACGCACCCTGTGGCTCGACGACATACCCGAGATCATTCAGGCCACCCTTGACATGCAGATCTTCTCTGTCGGCCTTCTCTCAGGCAAACACGTGGGGCACCGATGGGATCCCCCGCGTCCCCAGCTCTCTGTTTGATGGTGATCGCGGTCGCCGAACAATGTTGGACCAACACTCACACCACATCGGGACTTCGCTCCGTTTGACTGTTTGACCAAAATCCGTTGCGAGCATGGATACCAACACAGCACGCCAGCTGCTCCAAGACTTCGAACTCATCCTTGGCATTGCCCAACAAGGCATCGCCACCATCCGCGAGTTCCCTGAGAGTCCGCCAGCCGAACCTGATTTGGCACCGGAGGCCACGTTCAACCCCGCCATTGAGGACCTGACCAACTCACCACCAACACCCCTCCTGGCCCCCCTCGAGGACCTCTTTGAGCCACCTCCTGATGCTCCAGATGAACACCTTCCCACTGATCATGACGAACAAGTCCCTGATCATTGGGCCCCGCCCACTCCTCCTCCGTCTTCTCCCGACAAAAAACGAGCTCGCCGCACACGTGATTTGGCCTCCTCACGATCTACGGCATCCAAACCTGCTCATGGACCAAGCGAAGCTACCACATCGACCAGGACTGATGCCTCTACTGAGGCCGAACCTGAAGCCTCGCAGCCTTGGACTGAGGGAGAGATTGAACTCCTCCGTTCCCTTAAGACCAATTCCAAAGCCAAGTATTCGTGGTCAGTCATCGCCACAAGACTTTCTCGCACAATTGATGCTTGTAAGACTCAATGGGCCTCGCACAAGTGATGTCGCCCCAGTTGGGGCTCCGTGTGTGTGAAGCGTCCTGGAGCACGGACGGAAATTCCACATTGCAGGGGGACTGGAGCCCAGTTTGCCTTATCAAATCAATAAACTCTGGCATTTGTGGATACGGATCACGATCAATCAGCGTCTGCCTGTTTCAGCCCTCTTTCCTAATTTCCTTTTCTCTGTTGCTGTTTATCTTGCTGTTGCTGTTGCATATTCAGTATCGATGTTGTAAACCTGTTGATTTACGTTTCCATTCAGCATTTTAAATCGTTTTTCATCTCGTACAGTAAGCCTCTCCAGGATAAGTGTGTAGACATTTTATCTTGTTCACAACGTGTCATTACAGCATCTTGCTCGAATGAAGCGTTCTGTAGTGCCGTATGTAGCATATGTATACGCTGTATGTATGTTTGTACGCCATGCGACATATAGAGAAACACACACACACACACACACACACACACACGCGCACGCGCACGCACACGCACACGCACATGCACACGCACGTGCGCAGGCGCGCGCAGACGCACACGCACAGGCACACACACACACACACACACACACGCGCAGGCGCGCAGGCGTGCACACGCGCACACGCGCACATGCGCGCGCACACGCGCGCACAAGCGCACGCGCACACGCGCACATGCACGCGCACGCGCGCGCACGCACGCGCACGCACGCGCACGCGCGCACGCGTGCCAACGCACGCGCACGCACGCGCAAGCGCGCGCAAGCGCTCGCGCGCGCAAGCACGCACACGCGCAAGAACGCAAGCACGCACGCACGCGCGCAAGCGCGCAAGCACGCAAGCGCGCAAGCGCGCAAGCACGCAAGCACGCAGGCGCGCAAGCGCGCAAGCTTGCAAGCACGCAAGCGTGCAAGCGCGCAAGCGCGCAAGCGCGCAAGCACGCAAGCAGGCAAGCACGCAAGCGCGCAAGCGCGCAAGCGAGCAAAGCGCAGAAGCGCGCAAGCGCGCAAAGCGCGCAAGCGCTCAAGCGCGCAAGAGCACGCAAGCACGCAAGAGCACGCAAGTTCGCAAGAGCGCGCAAGCATGCAAGAGCGCGCAAGCACGCAAGAGCGCGCAAGCGCGGCAGCACGCACGCGCGCAAGCGCGCAAGCGCGCGAGCAAGCCAGCAAGCGAGCAAGCCAGCAAGCGAGCAAGCCAGAGAGCGAGCAAGCGAGCAAGCGAGCAAGCCAGCAAGCCAGCAAGCAAGCAAGCCAGCGAGCAAGCAAGCAAGCAAGCCAGCAAGCAAGCAAGCCAGCAAGCCAGCAAGCCAGCAAGCCAGCAAGCCATCAAGCCAGCAAGCCAGCAAGCCAGGAAGCCAGCCAGCAAGCCAGCAAGCCAGCAAGCAAGCCAGCAAGCCAGCAAGCCAGCAAGACGCGCAAGCGCGCAAGCACGCAAGCACGCGAGCAAGCCAGCAGGCGAGCAAGCCAGCAAGCCAGCAAGCGAGCAAGCGAGCGAGCCAGAAAGCCAGCAGCCAGCAAGCCAGCAAGCCCCGCAAGCGCGCAAGCACGCAAGCACGCAAGCACGCTAGCAAGCCAGCAAGCCAGCAAGCCAGCAAGCCAGCAACCAGCAAGCCAGCAAGCCAGCAAGCCAGCAAGCCAGCAAGCCAGCAAGCCAGCAAGCCAGCAAGCCAGCAAGCCAGCAGGCCAGCAGCAAGCCAGCAAGCCAGCAAGCCAGCAAGCCAGCAAGCCAGCAAGCCAGCAAGCCAGCAAGCCAGCAAGCCAGAGAGCCAGCGAGCCAGCGAGCCAGCAAGTTAGCGAGCCAGCGAGCCAGCACGCCAGCCAGCCAGCCAGCCAGCCAGCCAGCCAGCCAGCCAGCCAGCCAGCCAGGCAGGCAGGCAGGCAGGCAGGCAGGCAGTCAGGCAGGCAGGCAGGCTGGCAGCCAGCCAGCCAGCCAGCCAGCCAGCCAGCCAGCCAGCAAGCAAGCAAGCAAGCAAGCACTCACTCTCACACGCCACTCGCCCTCTCGCCCACGCTTTGAAGTGTGCACGCCTGCACGCCCGCGCTTGCCCGCCCCTCTAGAATTTTGATCATATTTAATGCGTTTCGCCCGTCTCCTTCAAGTTGGCCATTCAAAATGCCCTGCTGTAGATTACTGCACCACTTGTAGCTTGTTTCGGCCAATCAATGCTCTTGCCAAGTCTTGTGTTGCCGCGAGGATTGCAGGATTTGTCGTACTTCAAGTGCATTACGCATTAGCAGCTCTCAAGCCCTGATCTCAGAGTTGCTCAACCAATTGTTGTCGAAGCTTCTCTGCAGGCTCGGGCCACTGTTTGTTGATTTACTGATTTCGCTTGCTTGACATGACAATGGGGAATACAGGGGGCATTGCTGTTTGTGTATTGCTAGCGCGATCCTCCTGGATTACACGTGTAGCTTCATTTTGACTTACGATAGCAACTTGATCCTGATTGAGACTCAAAAGCACGACAAGAACATTCCACAGTTGTACAGAGGCATGTGGGGTTTGGGGAGCCCTTTCAGACGAGGGGCCTTTTTGCAGGTCTCAGGGCAGTTTGACAAATTGGCTGGAGCCTGCCAACAGCGGACTTGACTACTGAGTTGGTGTTTGCGTGTCCTTCCTAGGCTTAACACATCTTCATACAGTCCATCAGTTCGTTTTCGACTCTCTGGGTGGCTTGGACAGCAGTTCCTTGACGTTACGGCAGAGGCCACGTTGGCTTCTGAGGCTCCCATCAAATGCATCGGAGCAGTTGGACTGCCATCTACTTCAGCCTGGTGCTGCCTGCTGACTTTCCACTTCAATGACATGTACTGCAGTCAAGTTTGGCCGCTTTTGTTCATGTTTTGTTTGCAGGGCACCCTTTTTGGATGGCTTTAGAGGGCAACCAAAAGCACAATCAATCTTTTTAATCCCCGAACACCCATGTACGATGATTGAACATGACGGCCCTTCCGCAGAATTCCTGGGAGCATCTCTGTGGTCAGACAGTCCAGCACTCGGGAAGGTGAAAGTATTGGGTGCGCAACGCGCACACAAGGAGGACAATACGGAGTTGGGTTTGCACAGGTGCAGACTGCGAGGTTGCAGTGTTTGCAGTCGCAACCTCAATAGATTGCAGATTCTGTGCTGGCTACGCTTGCGGAGCTTGTGATGCAATGTGTTGCACCCACTCAGGACTCCTCTTGCTCGCAGCTGATCGAGTCAAGTTCAAGCTCCTACGAGGGCATCACAGACAGGATTTTTTCTTCACATGGTGGTGCTTGGTCAAGGGCTGCATGGCAATGCCAGGTGATGAGTTGAAGCGCCACTTGCTGCTAGCTTGGGCCTTTGCTCCAACTGATTTGATGTGCACAACAAGGCCAAATAGTGCAACGAGTTAGGACTCATGCGCTATCCAACAATCCAGTTTGACATGCTTGCCCGGGGAGTTGTTTGGGATGATCTTTGTCAATAGTTTCTATTGACCATCTCCTATGCCCTGTATTCCGAGACGCAAGACTGGTCTTGCAGGCTTCTCTTTAGGTTGAACAGGCCAGATTACACCTTGTGAGTTCTTGTAACAAACACGCAACCCGATTTGTCATTTCACCGAGCGGCATGGGTCGCAAGGCTGAACCCTTTGACATTTGGGTTCCTGGACACAGGCCCGCGACAGGGAGCACCTCTTGTGTTTGCCTTTCGTCAGTTTCGTGGCCATTTTCCTGTTCGTCCAGCACAGACTTCCGAGGGAATTCAGATTAGTGGAATTCCCATGGCTGCCATGGGCTGTCGAAGCAGCATGCCTTGCATGAGTTCCATGCGCAACGTGCTTGAGGAATGGCCCTTCCTATATCGCAGGTCAAGCGCATTTTGGCAACGAAGAGCTCCGCTGCTCTGCAGAAAATCAGCGAAGGCTTGGACGTGAAATTCGACGAGAACTTCGAGAAGCAATTTCTGCGATGTATGCTGTGCGCGCGTCTTCAAATCTCTGCCTTCCACCAGAATGCTGCCGCCTCTTCATGTGCTCGTAGGCAACAATGGCAGGCTGCTTTGGCACTTCTCGGAATGAAAGTCAGGTGCCCGAACAGCAGCGCAGCAGTGAATGCATTCAAGACGGGTGGACAATGGCGATCGGCGTTGGCGCTGCTGAACTCATTGTCTGCAAATAGGGCTGAAGCTGATTTGACCCTTGGAACGTTTCAGCGCTTTCTGCGGGAGACCCACACAAACAGATTTCGGGTTACATCAATGGTGGTGGAATACGATTTTCTTCTAGGTTTTAAGCGTTCACATGAGTAGCCAACACAAACAGTGAATGACTGCGGGTATCAGCGGCTGGTGACTTAGCACAGAACCGCAGTTGCCAAGTTTACCGTTGCCTGCCCCATGGTCCTACACTTACGAACTCTGCGCCCTTGAATTCTGGCGTAGGGAACCCGCCGAAAACCGATCGGGGGCCCACTTTTGGCATCTTCTCACATGACAATTATGTGTGTAGCATCCTAGAACCTGGAACTTATCAAACTTATTAAGGGTTACCCACTATCTGCTTGCAAGGCTTCCATTTCGGCCCCTACCACAAGTTCGGTCCGAATGCTCGCTAGCCACATGTGAGGAGTGGCTGCAATGCGGCTGCCAGCGCCTTGGAACAGTCCTCTTGGCAGCAGGTGCTTTCCTTCGTCGAGAACCTTCCCCCCGCAGAGATGTGTGGCTCGCAGAACACCGGGACTCACCACAGTACCCACATGTTTTTTTTCTTCGCAGGTGACGGCGTATTTTGACCGTGGCTGCCAACACTTCACGTTTACAGAAGCTCACCGTATCGGATGTGAATGTCCTGAAACCATGATTTGGCTGTGGGTCAAAACCAATGGTACCATTTTGGGGTAGGTGCACCACCCATTTTAGAACCTGTTTTAGTGGGGATTGGGATGTTCACTCGGGGTACGATTTGGATTTTGACCCATGGCCATGTTTCTCACTACTGACTCTTTGCTGCATGACTTCTGGCGCTGAGGTGCTCACTCCGTGCTGCGTACCTGCGACTGGAGCTTGGCTGTCGACTTTTGCACTCGGCTTGGTGGCGGTGGGCACATTGATTCCATTGGCGCCTAGGCCTATCTTCATTTCTTTTTCTGGTCAGACATTTCAGACTTCACAGCTTAGATATTATAGTGTGCTTGTTCTTGTTCGATGCGGTCGGGCTTCACAGCTTTGCACATTTTAAGCTTGAACATGTGAAGCAGAGGCTACAATGCTGCATTGGCTACCTTTTCCCAGAAACGCCAGTGGCAGAGAGCTCTCATCCTGCTGAAGGACATTTGCCGGGCGACTGTGAGGCCTGAAATCCTGTCAACCTTGGTGGTGTTCCTTTTTCCGGATGCGTAGCAAAGGGTTCCCGTTTGTAAGTGGGGGCCCGGAGGTGGAGGCCGTACTCGCGACGTGATTTTCTAGAGTTGAAGCGTGCGTTTTGTATGACTTGCAACATGTTGGCTAAATCAGGGGGGTTTGCCCGGACCGGAAGAACCTTGGCACGCGTATTGCAAGTCATCGAGTGATCGAGTGGTTTCACTTGGGCCGTAACCACCATCCCCGCCCCCCATCTTCTGTGTGTTGCAGACCATTGACCTTTAGGCAATCAGTCTGTATCGCATATACATGTTGGCTTCGTTTTCTACCATAGAGTTCAGACTCGCCATAGAAAAAGACCTCGCTGCGCTCGCTCTCAGCACATACTCATACACTGTATTCTTCAGGGGTTTCCGGACTGTCAACCATCAGGTCATCAGGTTCTCGTTGAGAAACAGATCCAGGGTGATAACCCCACCACCCCCCATCCCACCCCACCCCACCCCACCCCACCCCACCCCACCCCACCCCACCCCACCCCACCCCACCCCACCCCACCCCACCCCACCCCACCCCACCCCACCTCACCCCACCCCAAACCCCACCCCATGTAGAAAAGGCTTGTCCTAGGGGGTGGGGGGTAGATGGTTGCCTGTTCTGTTTTTTATTTCACAATTCAACACGTGTACCACCTTATCCGTTTTTAAAAGGCTGATTTTGGGGGCATGAAATAACGATATGGATGTGGTAACGAATTGATGATTTGGTCCCCTGTCTCGTTCCAGATTTCAACTTTTAGTTTTATTGATTGAAAGAGGATAGGACTTTCTGTGGATTCATGGGTTGGCTTTTGGGCGGTTGTTGTGGTTATCCTTCGACACCGCCCACGCTTCGTCTTCACCGACTTCCTCTTCGGATAGTGCGCCAGTCGGGTATGCGGGGTTGTCTGGTTGTTGCATATGTTTTGAAACAAGAGCTTCAGAGGTTGACATCGTCTAGCTGTCAGTCTTGCTTGACACATAGTTTCGATAGTTGAACTTGATGAACACAATTGCGATTGACGCTTTTTTTTCTCGAATGGCTACGATTAGCGTGCCATCCCATTTGAGCATTACAGTGTAGAAGCCTTCTTTCCATTTCGCGAGATGGCTCCCAAGAAGCAGGGTGGATATGATGACAAGAAAGACAAGACGGATACGAAGGTTAAGGACACCAAGAAAGAGCAGGACAAAGAGTCAGAGCCGGTACAACACCCAGAGGCAAGGTCTTCGAACGAGTCAATGTTTGCCCCAGCCAATGTGAACAACAACATTGAGGAACTCACGAGCGAGTTCAACAAGTTGAGTTTGGCTGAGCAGTTGGTGGTTGCCAAGAGTTTCGAGAGCTTCAACGAGCAGTTCAAGAAACGCAAGAGTGCCATCAAGAGCGTCAAGCAAATCCAGCAAAAGATTGAAAACTCCAACAAGAAGAAAGACCCCAAAGAAAAGGAGCTCAGCGAGCGCTACAAGAAGACGCCGTTGATGGTGAGGGTCTGGTTTGAAGGGCAAGTGTATGAGATTGAGATCTTCCTGAGCGACCGTTTGGGTACTCTCAGACAGTTGCTTTGTCGCAAGCTTGGACTAAAGAAAGACCAGAAGATGGGCTTCCAGATGGACGGACAGCCCCTTTTGAAAAAGGATGACCAAGAGCCCAGCAACACGACATTCCTCTACACGCTGAACAACATCCAGAACGGTGCTGAGCTCACGCTTTCGTTGATTGAGAGCCCGCACGGTGTCAACGACGACAACGGCGACAACGACGACAACGATGAGGTCATTGGCTCGGACGATGTCAATAACCAGTCGGGGAGCTCTGATGATGACACTGAACAGTAGGTCATCTGAGTAGCTCACTTTTGCACAGAGTTGCACTGTTTGGGAAAGTCATATGCTCATACATCATCAACTTACAGCTGTGTTTCCCTTTGTGCATCTTTGAGATGTCAAGGACGTTGACAGTTCGTCATTACCCTTGGATTGAGGCTCGTGTTCAAAAGACCGCTTCAATTAGTATGTCCAGCATTTGCTTTCAAGCATTGATTGCTCTGTCCATCATTGAATTGATGCATTCTTGTTGTTGTGAGACGGCTTGAATAGCTGACTTGAGGATAGCTTTGACAGCCATGGCACTGATGGCTCTACAGAAGAATGTGCGATTGAGCTTGAAATTCGTTTCTTCTCAAGAGGTGTCAATGATGAACTTTGATGGTGACATTCCCCGAGAGCACCCGACAGCAGACATGTTGCGAGACCTCCCCCGCTCTGTGCTCTTGGAGACCGTGCTGAAGGTTAACCCCTCCATCAAAGGCACCAACAAGATGAACAAGGTTGAATTAGCCAACATTGTCACAGTGAACTGGCGGATTATCACCGAGCAGTATGCCAAAGAAGCAGGGCTTCTATCCATCTATGATGACCAAGATGACACTTCACCGGAAGCCCCTCTTCGCCCAGTCCTACCTGTGCCACAACTCTATCTGGGAAACCCGCGTGACCCCTTAACCATTGAGGTTGTCATCCCCTTTGAGAATGAGATGATCAAGGTCTTCTACAAATATGACACTACTTCAACAGGGACCGAGTTGCTCAGGGCTTTGAACGCTTGGTTTGTGGCTGACCTGACCCCCGACACTTGCCTGTTGAAGGTTGGCGACTCCTTGATTTACTCCTATGAGACCATCCACGCCTATGTGTTTGACAAATATCCTTCATTGTCTTTGCTCCCTAAGTTGAGAGGAGGCACCCTTCAACGATGGAAGAAGCCCTTGAACAAGGCGGAGGCTTTGAAGCAAATGGTCGACAAGAGCAAGGACACGATCATCAGGAAGATTGACACAACCTTGGTTATGGACATTCAGGAAGCTCCACCCGTCTCCTTTGCTCAGGTCATTGCCCAGATTGACAACAAGGTCGCTGACTTCCGTGAGAAGATGATGACAGGTGAGCTAACAATGGAGCGGGTTGTGAACCAACTCACTGACGAACAGATTGATGTGCTTGAGCGAGTCTTTGCCTTCAAGACCAGTGAGAAGACAGAGCAGAAGGTGATTGATGCTGTGAACATCATCTACAAGGATGCCACAGCGATTGACGATGTGCTACCTCACCTGAAGCGAGCGAAGATGGGTATCATATCTTTTTTCTTGGAGTTTTACTCACGAGAGTTTCATCGGGAGCGTGGCACAGACTTTCAATTCAACAACTGTGCATTTTTGCGATTGCTTGAAAGCACCAAGAGCTATCGCAGAGGTATTAGGTCATCGACTGGAGCAAAT